ATGCTGTGTGGCCCAAAGGAGAGCTGCTCTAAATCCTCTCTCAAGAGAGAAAAACACAAATACCACGGATCAAACATGAGCACGTTTGAAGGGCAACCAAGTATGCCAAATGGAGCTGACTTCACATCAAATTAAATTCACAAGAAATTATGTCAAATTGGACACCACCATTTGCCGGGCAAACATCTTAACAACTACATCAACAATCTGTCCCATGACGAAGTCAACCTCCATGTTCGCACTAGTTTTTGAATTATATACTAGACTACTAGACTACTGTATTTCTGCAATCACCTGCATTGGTATTGGTTTCAACCGGCTCCTTGATGTCAACTGCCCGAAGGTTCTGCATGCCATCAAACCTGGGTCTTTGCATCAAGTTGGATCTAGTACAGTATATAAGCACAATCCACGGAACAGCTCTATGGAAGCAAGTTTGTGGTGGGTCCTGTTTCAAATGGCGATTTTCAGAATCTGGATGCTCAACGACTCCTTCAGCATCCAGCTTATGACCATGCAGGTCGCGGTGAAACGCGCATCCGGCGGCACGTCAGTTTTGAAGAAACCATCAAAATCTGTCCGGAGCCGACCTCAATACCAACGTGTTCGGAAGAAATGTCGACTAACTGGAAGAAGGCACACATGGCCAATGGAGCTCATGTTGACCATCTCCCGCTGGTCATGCTCCCGCTTCCGCCCTTCTGCATCTGACACTTCTCCAAGCACCACCGCGGATTGGAGAACTGCTTCATTGGCAAGGCCAACAATTCACTTCTCGAGTCAAAGGCTCACGAATCAGGCCGCGAACCATCCGCGTGCCAGGCTGTCAACCCTCCTGTCGATGACTTGTTTAATCTTTTTTCACGCGCCGCTGGGCCTCTGGGTAGTCTTACATCCGAGCCATGATCTCCTCTAGCTTTGGGCATTTAGAACCCGCTGCACCGGGCCATTCCAATCTCCGTGGGAAGAAATCCCAGATTCTCTGGGCGGCTTCAGCCTGGATACTGTGACGAGGGAGAATTCATTGTGTAAGGATTTTGGACAGCTCTTCGGGATGACCACCCACTACATTTGGATGGATGAGCCGCTTCTGCCCCGTGTCTGTAAAGAGAAGGCCACGCTCAAACACAGCATCTGGAGGATGCAGCTGCATCACACTCATTTCTTGTCAACCATCATCCTTGCAAGTTCGTCTGCCCGTCTCATCCTGTCTCTGTCTGGAAGCGGAGCCTCAGCCATGGCCGGCTGCCCGGTGAAGCCTGCCAATGTGCTACCTATGAGAGGCAGCTATCGCATGAGGTCGCACATGTTCAACAGACTCTTGAGCCACGTCAAGACTGCATGTTCCACTATTGTTTTAAATATATTATCTACTATATACATATACATACACACTCTTCCCATCTCTTTTCCAAATCGAAAGGCTTCTGTTGTGGAGGGTTGCCTTGGCGCTGACTGGGGCGACGTACGTGACTTCGGCACTGCCTTCCAGGGCAGTGGCCTCCATGGGAGCTGTAACATGCAAACCAGCGTGAGGGTTGGCACCAAACGCCCATGTGCTTGAAATGTTTGAGCAAATCCGTTGTCAACAACAAGGAGGTCTGAGAATATCTTTAAACCTCTTTTCCCGCACAGCATTGTGCTCTCTTTGCTAGCCCTTTTCAGTCGCAGCTTGATCAAGTGCCGACCTTGAACTTGGTCGAGAATAAAGACTTGCCGAGGTCTTTCATCTTGTGCCCTGCAGCCACTTGAGCCTTTCAGGAAACACATGCTTATTGTTTCTTTTGGGTTATCTGGGGAAACGTTCTGCAACCACAAAGGCCCAAGGTCATGGCTTGGATGAGCTTCAGATTAGCCTTTGACTGGAGAGCCTGGATCTCTTTCGCAGCCGCTCGTGCACAGCACCTCAAGAAATGGTTTGTCAAGGTGGAGTTTTGTATAAAGTGAGGCTCAGAGGCTGGCTAAAGGCTGACAAGTAACACGAAACTGAGGCTCGGAGTCGCTCGGGATGGCTGCATGTGAGTGCGGACTTGTGACTTGTCTCACCCCTGAGTGAGGCCTGTTGAGAGAAACCAAAAACCGGCAGCACTTGCCCAGCTCCAACTCAGCATCAAGCCCTCTAGTGGACGCCAAGCGAGTGGATGGACCGCAAAATGTCCACTGGGCAGAAAGCAATGTGCAAAACTTATATAACTCTCCAGGATTGTGCTCTAAAATATGTTGAACCTTTGCGGAATTTTGCGTTGAACTATATACTGTATTATATATATATACACATGCCTCTGGGACTCTCCCATTACAGTATATGCTTCGAGTATCTTCGAGTTACTTTGTGAGCTCCGCCAAAAACGTAGGGACTACAAAAAATTGTCGCAACAATCATGTATGTAGCACCTTTTGGCAAAGACAGCTTTTCTTCATTTCGTGAGTCCCTGCAAAACTATCTCTCGCCTGGTGGGCCCCACAAACAAGCCACAGGCAAGGCATCACCTTAGGTGCAAAACCGGCAGAGATGGTACAGGTGGGGAGGCGCCTCTCTATGTAAGCGAGGCACAACTGCCCAAGATGCCAATTTGCGGCCGGTCCCTGCGACAAGGATGTGGGCTTTGGTAAATGACTTAGGTGCCCAATGGCACTCTATTCGTTTCGAGATGTTTCGAGACCAACACATAATCAACCATAATCAAGCATAATCAAGCCAAGCTTGTCCAACCCCGATCTGGAAGGTGGCGGCACATGCTGATCGCAAATCGTGTGCTCTCTTCAGAGCAACAAAAACATGCAAACATATGCAAACCATGTTGCAAACCCGGAAGCCTTCGACAACTTGATGCCCTGCTCCCTGCCTGCCCTCTGGGTCATGGCGTGTCTCATGGTTCAAAATCCCAGTGGACTTGTTGCTTGGAATTGGAATGTGGTTGACCAAAATTCTGTGTTTATGGCACGCTGAACTTGGAGTATGTAAAGTAAACCAAAAGGTTGCTCCTTCAACAAGACCCGTTGGCATCTTTGACGTGGGTCACTGACCATAAGGATTCTTTCCTCTAAACTTTCTAAAGGGCTCCTGAGCCACTGGCTTCTGAGAGGAGGTGTTGCTTTTGATATTGGAGCTTGCTCAATATAGTGCAGCCATGAAATTGGTTCAGTTAGAGAAGAGCGCCCGATCTTTTTCGGCGGGTGAAAGGGGTCCGCAAAGGGACAAACCCTGGCCTCGGCCCATGCTTCTTAAATGCTGGACGTGCACCAATGGCAAAGCTACTCCAGGGCAATATGTGCAAGTAGATTTGCAAAGCCAAGCGCCATAGAAAAAGCGCCGAACAAGACATCTAAAATCCAAACAATACCTTCGGTGGCATTGACACTGCCATGTGTGTTTCTGCTTTCAAGTAGCCAGGTCACCGAACTCAGTGTACTGGCCTTATGGTCGGAAACGTGGGTCCTCCGCCTGATCGCCTGGTGACGGGAAGTAATCTTTCCACCCCCAAGCTTCCACATAGGCGACTCAGAATTGTGGAGCACCCAACCTAATAGCGATGGCCTCCAACCTAGTAGCTTCTTGCTCCTAGTAGCGATGGCCTCCAACCTAATTACTTGCGATGGCCTCCACCTAATAGCGATGGCCTTCAACCTAATAGCGATGGCCTCCAACCTGATAGCGATGGCCTTCAACCTAAGAGCGATGGCCTCCCACCTAATGCATGATAAAGCTGACATTGACATAGCTTTGGAGTTGACGGCTTGTTTCACCATGCTGGCCTCAACAGGTTCAACGCTCCCAAACGGACTGTTTGCTCTTCTGCTTGCAGTCTTCCCACACCTGCCATGAGAGTGGACCAGTGGCAAACGTTAAGTAAAGCAGTGTTGACTTTGGACTTTGGTTCTACTGACTACCGACGGCCCAAATCTACAGGGTCACTGGGCCAGGTCTGAACCACAAAACACAGAGTTGACATTTGGGAGGGCTGAACACTTAACCAAGCCGGCATCTCAATCTTGTACTGGCTGCTTTGCTCCACCTGTTCCAAGGACGCCAAGTGTGCATGTCAGCATCCCATGAACGGATTCATGCACCGAAATTGACATAGATTCCGAGACTACGACCAGTAAATGCCGCCAGCCCACGTTAAGTAGCTGCGGTCTTTTCTTTTTTGTATTCCACTCAGGTTTGCCGGCCTCCAACTGATAGTGACCACAGGAGAAACGTCCTGGACCTCCAGTTGTCACCATTATATAACCTGCCTTTAGTGCACAATTGTGAAAATGCACGGATTTGGAGATCGTTCCACAAATGCAAAGGCTCCAGGCCAAGCTGTTTCACGTTCAAACGGATGGGCTCCTTACCTGCCAGGGAACCATAATTTGCATCATCACACTCTCAACTCCCCCCAATCCCGACTGAGCATCAGCTGCTGCCCATGATGGAGAAGAAACACACGTACGTGCAAAAAAAAGCTTTTTAGGATCTATGTCCCGCATTGTCCTGTGTGGGGGTATGCCTGTACAGTCTTGAAAGCCATGAGTACGGAAGGCCTGGAAGATTGAGCAAAACCCATGGGAAACAGCCCATGGTTTCCCAATTTTGACTGAGTTTTAATGAACTGCCTCCGCATCAGCATGCATCAGCTATCTGTGAGCTGCGCTGTCTTCAGGCTCTGTACATGCGGGCTTTGCCGCTGGCTTAAGGTTGATGGTGGAAGCAAAAGAAGCTACCATCAGAGTTGAAGCTTCTAAAATGACAATGACAGAGTCGAACCAAATTACTCGGGTCATTTGCACTATCTTGCTCCACCACTGGTCAATAACCACACTATTTACACATCAACAACCAACACACACACACACACGAATTGGCGGCCTGGACTCTGCCAGGCCAGCTTGTGTCGCTTTTCTTGAGCACTGAGCTCAAGCAGCCATAAGGATCCTAAGGTCTGGAAACTAGACATGGAAGGTCTAGTAAGGTCTAGAACTTCTCTCTGTGCTCGCCGGCCCTGGGCCTGGGCTTAATTGATCGTCGATGTCAAAGAGCGATGAAAGCCCTGCTGAGCAACGGCTCCCAACAAGGAGACGCGCTCAAAGCCCATGTGGCAAGCTTGTACTAGACCCCCATTGCCAAACACCAAGTTCTTCACTTCAGCATCAAACCGCTGGGGATCGTCGATCTTTGACAAAATAAAGGCCACGTCTTGAGGATTTGAGGCCTTCATCTCCTGGACATGATTGAGTGAAGGAAATTACACAACAGTGATTGGCAATGAACCATAGAGTTATTTTCTGCGACATCCTGAGACATCAAAAAACTCAGAGTTCAACATTGTGCAACCGCTCGCCCCGCTTGCCTGCACTTTCAGGTCATGAAGCCAAACTTCATGCTTCTTCAAGTTCTCTTCAGAGAAAATGATCATGCGCTGCGACATGGACATCGTCTGAGCTTGATGAATCTCCGCCACACACCAAGCACGCGTGAACAAATTAAAATCCAAATCTACAGCGATGACTTGGCTGCACTTGGGATTCAAGGAATAAATGCAGTTCATCATGTCATCAAATTTGTTCATTTCGCATTTCACACTCTGTCCATCCTTCAATGGCTCAGAGTCACTCCAATATTTGTGGTGCGCACATGGACATGGTTCGGGTAATTCCCCTGTCACTGGGTCTTGGAGGTTACTGGGAACGACGCCACAAATGCCAGCATGCTGGTTAATGCTGAAGCAGCAAATCCAGTAAGTGATATCGAGTTTGTTCTTCCAATAGAGCTCTGATTTCAGAGCCAGCATCCCCTCACCCTCCAACCTATGCAAAATGGATGCGTAGCTTGGCAACTCAAGGGCATCTGCGACAACTGAGGCCACCAAGCACGCGAAACGATTGGACCAACTGTGAGTGACCATCCGACCTGGTAGCAACTCTCGGCCCTCCATCATGACCAGTGCAGCCGCTGAATCTCCATAGCTGGAACCCTGACTCATGGGGATGATCACCTGACGCACAATGTCGGTCGTCTTGTGCTTCTCCGGGTCAAAGTGGGGCATCCTTTCAGGGTTGGACGAAGATGAACTCGAACATATCTTGAATGGTGACGATTGAATTTATATATTTGTATATATATATAAAGAGAGATTGTGATGTGGATTTTGCTAAATTGTATGCTGGAAGCTAAATCTCGTGGATCATGAAACAAAACAGTTGACGTACACAAAAACAAGCTAGAAAATGCAAGCAACTAGGACAGGCGGCTGGCTCCCTCAAACACCAGCACGGCTCACAAAATCAAGTCACAAACATCTATATACTGTAACACTCACCCAAAACTAAAGTGCAAGTTTCCCTAAAACATCTAGGAACCAAATCATTAGTGCGAACGCTTCTTCAGGGAGGCTCCCCCTGCCCTCAGGCGGGGGAGCTTCCTTTTTGTACTCTCAAGCCGCAACATCAGGGCCACAGGCAACCTTCATGCTTCCGCGGTGAAGGTCATGAATCCAACGAGCTAAACATCATCACACTTTACAGAAGTGAACCAAACGGCAGACACCAAGACAAAGGAGATTCTTTGGCTCCTTTGCCGAAAGCACGGCCTATCATTTTAAGTGTAGCATTGGCATTGTCAATGAATGCTTCGGCGCCCAAAAAAGCGCCCTGCGGAAATGTTTTGCCGTTGCTTTTATGTCCTTTATCCAGCAAGAGCGGAGCCACAACAATTTGCTTTTGCTTGCAGTACGAAAACCCAGCTCGAATGATGCTGGCATAAGCTTCGGGGGTGCACAAGGTTCCAACTGGCAGCTGGAATCGCCAGCCTTTGGCAAAGGCATATACAGCAAGCTCAAACACTGAACAGGCCAACCGCTCGCCCAGCCTCCATTGCAGCTGCCGAAAGTTTTCAGCTGACAAAGTCTTCTTCTCATTGAAAGGCATATCAATGTCAACTTGCACTTGCCATGTACAGGCTCGGCGAAATGTCCCAAGGCCACTTAGGACACATTTCTCGAACCGTGAAGTGCTCTCCCGTTTGAGGAACTATTGGTGGTCGTGCAGGTACTGACTCTGTAGGCTGCTTACACGCTCTATTGATCTTAGCCAACCAGAGCTGGCGAGCAAAGACATCAGTTTCCTTGATGGTGAGATCAGCTTTTGTAGCGGTCGCAAGATCACTGATGTGTTTCTTAGCAAAATGGTCCGCCAAACGATTCAGAATAATGTCTTGCTTTGTGGAACCAGCTGCACTTGCTTCTTCTTCGGTAAGTACCTCACCGGGAATGTTTTCCAGCCAGTGGGCTGGACACCAAACCAGCTGCAAAGGAGAATCAAAGAGTCCTCTCCGCTGGTGGAGTAGGGAGAGAAGGCAGCCCCACCAGTTAGCATGCGTCCATTCCAGCTGCACAGCGTCATTCTGAAGAAGCACGGCAAATTGCTTGGCTATGGTCAATGAGTCGGTATGAACAATTAGAGGTTGCGAAGCCTCAGCGAACGCAACCAAAATGGCCCAGAGTTCAGCACTGTAACTTGAAAGCCTCCAATGCCAAACACGTCCAACAGATCTCAAAGACTCATCAGAAGCCACCACAGCATAGGAAGCGATTGTCAACCACGGTTGGTGGGTGAGCTGTACTGAACCATCAGTCCAAAGATGTAACACGGGGCCGATAGGTGCAGTCCAAGGACACACTTGTAGATCCGAGGTTTTGGAGACTTTCAATTTATCACGGATGACATCAAGCGGAAGTTCAGCAATCCCCAACGTCAGAAAGTTCGGTCCAAAGAAGGAGGTAGTCGAAGGCTGCTTCAAGTCTGACGGCAAACTAGGGCATTCATCCACAAAGTGTTGTAGGGATTCTTTGGGCGCATCACAGAATCTACAATTGGGCTTGTCAACGAGGCCCGCAGCTGCCAACCTATCCGCTGTCAGTGTACAGCCAATCAATGCACTCTCCCAATGGAATAAAAAGGAAAAGCCCGGATTGGGAACATTCGCAAGCTTCTTTTTGGCTGAGAGAGTTAAGGAGAGGTCCAGAAAACCAACAGCGGCATGGATGCCCTTGCGCGGCATCAAACTAGCAGTAATGTAACATTTATTGGCGGCAAGATTCTTGAGAACGCACTTGAGGTCGGGCGCTGAACAGTCCAAAAAGTTCACAGCTGCAGAGTCAAAAGCAGTGATCTCAAAGGAGTCAGTCCAAAGAATATCAAGAATTTGACGTGCTTGTGAAAATTGAGTCATCCAAGCTTGTGCAGTAAGTTGATCCTGTAAAAGTTGCCGCCATCGCTGACGTGCATGGGCAGAAGATTGAAGAAAACGCACCGATTCCACAATGGTCGTAACTGCACGACAGAGAAACGGATCCAACTTATGGGCTTTGTGGATCACACATAGCAACAGATGCTTGGATCGCCACTTAGGCCTGTTTTGCCAAAGAGCATCCGCGATTGCACTTTGTAACCTTGCCAAAAGCCGCTTAGGCAAGAAATTCAACTGCGGTGCGAACGCCACCTGTGGCATCACTTTGGTGGCAATGATTTGTGCTCGTCTTGTATAGCTATCACAGGGCAGCGCTCGAATTGCTTCACAATCACGCAAGGCAGTCTGAAGCTTGGAAGGTGGGGAACTGCCAACATTCTTCTTGGTGGTTTGAACGAAGGCGCCCAAGATGTTAACCACCTCAACCAATTTCATCTGAGGGAAAGCTTGCTTCATGGCCTTGCGCAACGAGCCATTGGACGCAAAGATTTCACATTTGCTTGCGTTAAGAAATTGCCCGCGTAGAGAATCCCAAAGCTCGGTGGCACGGACTGCAGCAACCAAGCGATCAATGGAGGGCAACCGTGTCCACAGGTATGTGTCATCAATGAGCTCTGAACTCAACACCCTCAATATTGCTGACAATCCATGCCCAGATGGCCATATGCAGATTGATGCAAAGAAGCTGAGGGAACATCCCTGAACAACACCATTCGGCGTGGAGATCGGCTGCGCCCTTGTCCATTGTTTGAATGAAAGAAACCGAGTCATTCTCGTATACAATGCCAGGAATGCTGTGACAAAACCACATGGAAGCCCCAAGGCGAGCATAATAGCAGCGCAAAGTTTGGGCACCAAACGGTCAAAACACTTCGACTTGTCCAACTTTAGAGCAGCAAAAAAGCCTTGAAAGCTATGTGCAGGGTCAATCTCTGTCGGCTTTTAACCCCACCTTTCAACTGAGGAGGCATCACCTCTTGCTGCCACCGCTGGAGCTGCAAGAAACGAAGACCAGTGTAGAGCAGGGTGAAGATGGACTGCAAAGAAATCAAACGCTTAGAGAGTGGGGCATCACTGCCATCCTTGTTCAGTATGGTCATGCGAACTTGTGTAAGGATGACAGGGAACTCTGTTGAACCAGCTTCAATACTGTTGAAAAGCGCTGCAACTGGTCGAAATGCTGCGGGTGGAAGGGCTTGAACTTCTCGAGTCTGCCAACCATCAAGACCCGCCGCGGCATCCGGTCGACGACGAGCAGCTTGCTCCCACAGTTGAAACTCAGTGATTGGCGGCAGCACAATAGCCTGCCCTTTGTCATGGATATACGGCCAAACTTGTTTCAAAACCTACATCTCATGCTGGTGGGAGGCATTCACCGAGAAAACGGGATCCCATTTTTCCGCCATAACATCCATGGCAGTTTGTGGGTCAAAAACGATGTTGCCAACATCATCTTCAACGAGGTTCTGAGGTACAACACGACCTTTCCGTTTGAGATACTGATAGACAACCTTGCCAATAGCCAACGAAGTAGTTGCATTCTTCATCGCCTCACGCCATTTCCGGATGGCAGCAAATTTCAAATGCTTGAGCTCCCCAGCTATTACATGAAGCGTCAGGTCAGTCAAATGAGGTAAATCATAGACAAACAACTGCTGCATCGACAGAGGAATGATCTGCGCCTCCTTGAGTCTCCGTAACAATTTCCTCTGTGTATTATGGAAGGTACGGCAATACGGCAATCACCGGCGCCAGAGGCCACCCGTCCGAATCGGAAAGCTAATTCACGCAAAGACCGAAGACAGGCTTGAAGGAGGAGGTACGGTGAGGCTAAATTCCCAGCAGCTTCTTGTGGAGCACTCATTTGGATTTTCCGGAACTTGGGCAGCCTCCCGCGCACATGAGGGCCCTTTTCCCAAGTAGCACCATTCAGCAGGAGAAGACGTACTGCAAAGTCATTAAAGAGTTCCCACTTTTTGTTCGCATCATCAGTGTGAGCAAAGGGCAGGTCATAGCTTTGGCATAGCTGCTCGCCCAGCGCGTTGACAGGGCAAGCAGGGTCAGAGGCATTGGCAGTGTGAACCTGGTCAAGATTCAACTTAGCAAACCGCTGCAATCCGTGCCCACCTGCTGAACACGGTCCCAAGCAAAAGTGGCCCTGACAGGGCGGTGTTGTCGGTCCTGGTGGTCAAGTACCTCTACATGCATCAAGGCTGTGAGTGCAGTCCGGTTCACAAGGATGCCATCAATTGAGGATTGCCCATCCCCTTCTTCAGAAGCAGAATGCCGAAAGAAAGTACAAGGCCAAAAGACATCTCCCTGATCATCCGTTTGGAGGAGAGGGTCAGCCCAACCCCAATGATCCAAAGCCGGCTGAACAGAGGGGTACATGCCTGGCTCCATCTGGAAGCCACCAGCGATGAGGATAGGAATGTCACCAAATTGGGATGCAACCGTAAAGATCATGTCGAGGAGATCGTTGTTGCGTTCAAACTTAGCCCGTTCAGAGGCAGCATTTGCAATGGCGTAAAAGTTAAAGGCCAGTAGTAGTTTGACGCTGGAGGACACTTGATGCCAAGTAGCCGTGATTCGAGCGGTGCTGCGCAAGAGCTGCCAAGTGCCAGACAAATCAGTGGTCTCGTCAAACAACTGTGTGAACTCTTTGTGTGCGCAGGTTGCAGTTCCCCCGGAGGGAATGCGAAAGGCGCCATGCAACTTCTGAAGAGGCTGAGAGCAGTACAAGTGGAAATTGCAAAGAGCAGCCTTGCGTTGAGACTCCACCATATTTGACTCTGCAATT